CAAAGCAAAAGTTGGGTTGCTTATTTCATGAAATTAGCTGTGCACCTGAAACAACTTGTGAAAACATTTTTTTTTATTACAAAACTTTAAAACTGGGTTGGTTAAGAGGTAGCAAAGGTCATCAGAGACTAAGCTAGTGAGCAAGAAAATGACAAAGCCAATGATTGGTTGTGAATGCTCTTTTTAAATATCAACATAGACAACACAGAGTTAGTGAAACTTTTGAGTATTTCTATGAAGTATAAATCTCTATGATCATGATAGAGCATTCTCAGAGTGGCGATGAAATGAAACAGCCCTGACTACAAAATTGAAGTTTAAAAAAATATAAAGAACCCATAAAGATGATGCTGAAAATTAAAATTTGAAAAGCTACCAATAATAATTGTTTAACAATTATTCAACTAAATATATTTACCTCTTATACTTATATCCACAGGTGGGGGTCAAATGTAAATATGAAGAAGATAACTTTAATTTGGGGAAGTTATCTATTTCTTAAATGTTTGAATAGTTCACAAATTAACAATTTAATGTGAAAATAGTGTCAAAATAATTTCTAACAGAATCAATACTGACCATAAGACCTAATAAATTATAGCATCTTTGTAAAGTAGGCTTTGTTTGCATTACCTCACAATTATAGAATAATCTCTATTAAATTTAAATGATTAAAATAATTTTCTTAAACTTGATTAATAATTTTGCTAATCTAAATACATTTTTTAATTAATATGTTTAGTATTTCAATACAATTATTTTTTTAGGCTGAATAACAATAAACATTCATTAAAACAAACATGAGCACAGTTGCTTAGTGTTTTACTTTGGTACACACACACCTGTCTTACTAATCCCTAAATGATTGTATCTTGTAACAAAATATATTGTATTTTACTAGTCTCCTCAATTACATTGCTTTAACAGATGCTTATTTTATTGTTGATTATAATTAAATAATATGGAGCTTTTAGTTATGTTAATCAAATATCCCACTTGACTGAGATCGTCTAAATTTAGCAATGTTGTTCCGGATCAGTTAAATATTCTGTCTTGGTTGTAATCACAATTGTTTAATTAAAAATTAATTAGTCCTGTCACCTGTCTATATGTTAGAATTAGATAGTCTTGCACACATTTTTATTATCAGAACTTAGTTGGTATCATAATAAAAACTTAGGTTCTTAACTTTTATGTAGGTTTATTCATGAAATGAAAGTGTGGGTATATTTTAAATAATAAGTCCACATGTTGAAAGTTTGATATCTTGGGTCAAATGTTCCCCTTGCAACCTATGACCCCCACCCTGCTTTCATTGATAGCTTTGAGAAGATATAAATAATTTGCTAGATACTACAGTCTCAAGCCTTCTGACTATAATTATAACATATTTTCCCTTACTAATTGTTGTTTAGAAGATTTTGAAGAAAACCAATGAAGACCTTTCTTATATAAAGTAGATTTAAGGGTTCGTTAGCAAATTGCTTCACGCAAAAAATGAACTTTTTAGACCCCCCATCCCCATGTCACAATTACTTTAAACAACACCCCCTCCCCACACTTATGTCTCCTCACACCTAAAAAAATCAAAACATACATAAAATTTTCATAACTAAACTAAGGTTTTATTTTATTCTGTAACATTTTCCCATAATGATAATGGATTAAGATGTAGTATTAATTAGAAATCTGTGATAGGAAACAACGAAGTCATCACCGCGTCGAATGTAAAATGGCCACACCAGTTTTTTTTGCAAAAGGTAGGCACGACTGAGATCCATGTTACCTATAATACCTGAGGCAAATTTCGACCTAAAATTAATGATTTCAAAATTAATTGAATGAAGATTTTTCTTTACATTTTTAGTATTATTAGAAATCTGTGATGGGAAACAACGAAGTCATCACCGCGCCGAATGTAAAATGGCCACACCAGTTTTTTTGCAAAAGGTAGGCACAACTGAGATCCATGTTACCTATAATACCTGAGGCAAATTTCGACCTAAAATTAATGATTTCAAAATTAATTGAATGAAGATTTTTCAAAATTATAAAATTTTAGATAAAATTTTTGATAAAAATTTTATTTACATTTTGCCCCCCCCCCCCCCCCCCCCCGTCGCAAAGTGTAAAAAAGTTCTTGTCCCCCTTGAGCCCTCCCACCCCTGAGCGTGACGTAATTTGCGAACGACCCCTGAGTGAGAAATATGTAATTTAGAAAGTATGAAAATGAATGTTGCTTTTCAGACCTTCCAAAGAACCTTCACTAAATTTTTATGGGAAGCATTATACGCAGTCGACTGCGCATAACCCTGAGAGTTATTCCCAGCCGACTGGGAATTTAGCCAAACAAGGTTTATTACAGCTAGTTTAGCAATTTAAAAAAAAGTATTATGCATATTTAGCTGCATTATGGGTCGTTTTGAACTATAACTTTTAATGTAACGTAAATTTTAACTGAATTAATTTTAATTAATATTGAATGATATTAATAGTATTAGTGCTACTATTAGTATTATTGTTTGTATCTTATATATTATAATTATAAGTCTAAGTCAAAGTCTAAATTTCTTAGAGTCTAAGACTAAGACAATTATTATGTCTTAAGGCATTACCATGGTTTAAGTCTAGTTCTGTATTTTGATTGATTAGGTTTTTATATGTTGCTATGACTATGTGGTTGGTTTTACTGACTACTTCAGGAAATACATTCTATTTATTTTTAAAAAATTATATCATTTATGATTTTTTTTTTTTAGTGACCTAAATGTAACAGTTTTCAGCATCCATGCAAAACTATAACTGTGTGAAAGTATTACTTACAGTGCCCCCTCTACAGAACCTCCTGCCCTACAGCTATTTTTTTTCTGCTACTCTCCACCCCTGATTATAATTACTGTAACAGAGAAACATGTTTTTATCTGCCACACAATTAGTTAAAAACACAAAATATATATTAACAACACAAACATATATTATGATAATTAAAAGTATAAGAATAACATTATTAACATTACATTGGTCAAGTTAATTCTTATCATGTTTTAACATTTTTTAGCTAATAAAAAAGTAAAACAATAAGCCTAGCTGTTTTTGCTTTTGGTTCATTCTCGAGAACTAACATAACAACTAACACGTATCTTGACTGGCCTTTGGCTGGAACTTAACTCCAGACCACCAACTTGAGGTTTGCTCAGTTTATCCCATTCAACCACCCATTCACCCTGATATCGAAGCACCTTTATCGATCGATACCGTAACACAGGAACAATATAGACCTTAAGTTACTTGCCGACTGCATATAACTCTCAGGGTTATACGCAGTCGACTGCGTATAATCACTTCGAATTTTTATTAATTATAAATGCCACCCACGGCCCACAGCGATCACTCATTTCACTTTCTCTAGGTGATACCTAAGCTTAAGCCACAAGCCCCACTTTAAACCCAAATTTACTAAATTATTTTACTTTAGACTTGACAGTACTGTTGTTGCCACTGTTGGCTTTAGCTGGCAACTTTTACTTTTATTAAATAATTTGTTTATTATTTGAATTCGATTAAATAACATTGGCATGTGGCTAATGTGAAGAGATAACATCCTGGTTCCCATAGGGTCAAAACCCAGGTTAGGGATAAGTTTAGGTTTAGGGATAGATTTAGGGTTCAGGTTAGGTTTAGGGATACGGGATACATTTAGGACATAAGTTCACCGGTCGCGGCAACCAAATCCGAAGTAAAAAAACGCAGTGCTATCTCTTCACATTTACCAATAATTGTTACTAACTTTTTCTTAATCTAATACATACCAGTTCTTCATGCAACTCTGCTAAAGTTGGCCTAGCTTTCATGTTACCTCCAGTGGCCGAGAAAATATTTCTATAGTGATCAACACATGGTAGAGCTTCTATAGTATTCATAACACAATTTGTTTTTGTATACTCTATAGATCCCCGGCTACGCATTGAATCTCCACTAAGTGAAAATGTAGCACATGGAGATTCTGGACAGTTATTAAAATCAACCCTTCCATCGCTGCTTGTATTTGGAGCCGATGTGTCAATTTTAGGAAGGTTAACAGACTTCTTCTGATGATCTGGTGATTTTTTACGAGACTCCGCCTCTGCTTCTAAATTATCTCTAGCATCTTCATCTTTAGAATCAACCCTAGCAACCTGAAAGCGCGATCCACTCTTTTTCATTTCTTCAGTGTTTAAATCCATTTCGAAAAAGTTTGTACACAACGTTGAAAATTCTATAATTTACATCGGAAAAGGCGATATTGTGCCTTGGTACTCATACTATGCGGACTGACGTTGTAATATCACAACACAGCACTTAAGTATGAGCGCCATGATTTTTTCATCGATCAATTTCATCGGCCAGAAACAGTAAAATTGTTTGGCCATTATTAACAATTCTGTTGAATTTCTATTAACTCTTGTGTGAAATAAATTCATTGAAAGATTTACTTTTATATTCCCATAAATCAGAGGATAAATTTTCGAAAAGACCATTTATTCTATTCTATTTAGTAGAAATAACCCTTTAATCGATTCCAATTTATAATGCCAGCCTGGCAAGTAATGCATGCTATTTAAATATTAGAGTACATTCCCTTGGTTTAATAAATTCGATTTTGTTGCGTTTTTTTTTTTTTTAAAACAATTATTGTATCCAACTAGATAACCCCCTTCAAAATCATTTTCTTGGTCCGGGATGGGCAAACTGTGACTCGAGAAACAATTGTGGCTTGCTCTCCCTTTAAGATAAAATTCCCATAGAAAATGAAAAAAATTGAGAGTAAAATTTTCAAATGCAGATGTCACCTCTAAAATTCATAATAAATTCCAAATGAATCTGGTAGAGGGCTTCTCCCCCCCCCTCCCTTTTCCCCCCTCACCATTTATGGTCCCCCATGCCTCCATTATCTCTTGACTTTAGCTGTAGCTACAAATACAAAAGTTTGCTCACCTCTGATCTTGATGATAGGGGTGGGTGGGGACAAAAACAGATTAAGACATATAGGATTAAAATAAAACTGAAGACAGTTTAACGTTGAACAAGATAATGTATTTTTTTTAAGAGGCAGCTGGACAGATAGTTAATGTAACATTTCTCAAGTGCAAGTCCAAGGATTATTACTACTTACAGTCAGAGTGTAAGATATTCTGCAGATCCCACAGAATTTGGTAAAAGAATTCAATTGTCACCATGTAGTAACAATAACAAATGCACAATTTAATATAAGTCTATGAAATTAATGTTTCATGCAACTATTGTCTCCACCAATTTTTATCTTTAAACAGAACAACAAGTACTGAAAGCTTTAGAGAAAATTAGGTCATTTATGAGTATAAATAATCAACAACAAAGAAATTTGTTTATTTAAAGAGGAAAAAAAGTAAGAATCGTCATTCTCAAACTGTAGAACATATTAAATATGGGCAGTGGGTAAACCAACATGCACTCAAATTATTAGTGTAAGAAACAAGAACCCATCACCAAACTGTTCAAATACTTAGAAATATAATGTTCATGTGGTTATTAAATTAGACTTTTAAGCTCAAAACATGTTTTCAACACTGGATCTCCAGGAGAAAATAGAACCATATAAATAAAACATCTGATAAATTAAGAAAATCTTAACCATGGCTTAAGGTTAAGTACTACTAGCCAAAAAAGCTTTAGATTCCTCTCTGTAAGCAAAATAATATTTTTTCCCCCCAATATTATAGATAAGTGACTAGTTGTTGGTTAAATAAAATAAAATTAGGAATTATTTAAATCATAATTTTATCATTTTAATCAAAGTAATCTGGAATGTCTAAGGGAAACACCTTTAAAATAAAACGCCAAACTAGAATGTCTAAATTTTAATCAATTGAAACCTATCCCCAACCCATATGGAAGACAGGTGAATTAAGGATATAGTTGCGAACCCACATGAAAAATGGGAGTTGAAAAATCATTTAACTTTTTTGAAAACTTGGAAAATTTTTTGATAAGGTTAAAAAAAGGTTATTTGATTTTAATACTTGGTAGAGACTATGAAAATAACAAAAATTAAATCAAAGATTTCCTGAGGTTATTTTCTCAGTGAGCTAAGCTGGGCTTATCTGACACAGCATTTTGATTGTTTCAAAATACAACACAATGAGCTACAGAAAAATACACCTAGAAAAAAGCAGTGTATTTGATTTCTACAATGTAGCTGAATGCTCACTGATTATGAAAGGCTTATTATCAACTTCACAAAAAAAAAAAAAAAAAAAAAAAAAAAAAAAAAAAAACTGTGTGAAGTTACTGTCCAAAATCACAACTGTTTGAATGGTATAATTAGAATTAGACACACAAAAACATGCATTTTGTTACTTGTACCCTGGGCACAAATATAAAAATATTACAAGTCAAACTGAAATAAGAGGCTAAAGGACAGATATTTAATGAGAAAGGCTATTGTTGACTCTGTACCAAATAGTGAATGTTGGCAAGTTGAATATAGTACTGAAAGTTTTTATAGCGCATGTTAAACCTATTTTGCATTACAGATCTAGCAAGACGGTCTTTGCTGTATCTTGTTCAATGTTTTGCATATTTTATCAAACTTTCAGTGAGTACAAAAGCGTATTCTCACTATAAAATACATAAATATATAATATATCAACATATAGAAAATAAAGTCAAACATTCATTAAAAAATAGTCTTCTCATTTTCACATTAATCATCAATTTTGATCTCAAACCAACAGTGTTTAGAACAAATTGTATAACAAGTTGTATATATATTAGACTCAGTCTCTCACTCCAAAATCCAAAATATGATTTTAGGAAAAAATCACAATAAATGTAGCACAGTCTAAACATATTAAGTATTCTTTTAACAAACCAACCAACAATTGTGGCTTGGGCAATGCCAGCCTAGCATAGCGAGAAAATGACAGCAGGAATTTTTAGTTGCAAACTGAAAATAATAAAGATCTTAAGTAGTCAAAAATTTAATTTCAACAGTTTCTTCATGAGAAGCCATTTAAGAACAACGGCACAGCTTTAAATGTAGTGAGTTATTGCCCAAGCACCAATGATCTATAGAAGTTGCTGAGGAGCACCTGGCCTTGTTCTCCTGGGAGCTGGTTGAGCACGTGAGAAAGTATTCATTAAAGAACGCACACGTCTCTGTGCTGATTGAGTGGCATAAAAATGCCCGATAATAGTAACTGGAACTTCATCCACATCTCCTTGCTCTTCCATAGGAAGCTGTACTATGGCACCACTTACACGTTGCATTTCTTTAACCTATAATACAATAATTATTATTACATTAGTACAACAGTAGGTCTTGAAATCTGACTGTATTTATATTTATGAATTATATTTATTATACAGTTGAACCCACTTATCTTGACCTCGGTTAACTCGCCAACCCTTTAAAGTCAAATGAAGTGCAACCTCCAAATTCTCTCTTTGTCTTAGCATTTTCTCATCGGTTATGTGATTCTTTTATGTCGCCGAAGCATAATATCTCGAGCACAAAAGGGGGCCAAATTTGCCACTTAACGTCAGTTATCTCAATCCCCATGACCAATCGCCTGTTTATTTAACTCCACAAGAACAAATAAACAAGTTTTGCATAATCAAAAATAATTATTTCTCAAAATACAAGAGTGAAAGAATCTCTAAGTTTATGATGTAATGATCACCCCCCTCGTGTGCACAAAACAGACTATAATAAGTTCATTGTCACTCCCTTACGTAGACAAAGGAAACTAGATCTCCATATGACCCCGTGACCTACCGGCATTGACCGTCGTGGGTTTATGGTCTGTTTCCCCGCATACGAAAAATCTATCGGCGCGCGCCACTTAGTGAAATACCTAATAATATAGACCAGGCATACACAACTAAAAATGAAAGGTGGGCCGTAATACTTTATGAAGTATGCAGGCCGAAAGATAATGACAGGGGGGAGAGATATTAAGAAAATAATAATAAAGAATATTTCATTAATTCGCGGGCTGTATGTAGTCCGGGCCTGTTTTATACCTATATTTTAAATATAACTTATATTTTTATAACATTCGTTAATAGAAAGTAGGTCTACTAAGTATGGGCCTAAGCAAGCTGTCCTGACTCTAAGACTAAAATGAGTACTTCACAAATAAAATATTTATAAGATTAACATTCTAATCATATACAGGATACAGTCTAATCAGTCAGTCTTAAGTTAAATCTAATATACAGTAACCTGGACTTAGTCTAGGCCTAAAACATTTTAGACTTAGACCCTATAGCCTATTAATTATTATTGACTTAAATTATTAAATGGGCATAGCCTAAAATTTGAGCTTGAAATTTCAAGCCCATGTTAATATATTGCCGCCATACTGGTTTTCGTTTATCTCGATCATCGGTTATCTCCTTGCTTTTTGGCAAACCCCATGGCCGGCGACATAATGGGTTCTACTGTAATTACATAACATTGTCAGCTAATTGCTTTTGTTTGCATAATATTCAAACTTTCATCTATATCATTTAAAAGATTGGGTTAGCTACGAAAAATTTAAAATGAAAAAAATAAGTTTGGAAAAAAATTACAAGTACTAGATTATTTGCTGTTTCCCAAGGTTGCCCTGTTAACACCAGCCACTATTGTCATCAAATGCTTTTAAATGTCAAATTTAAAAACATTTTAAAATTAAGATTTTGAAACTGCTTTAGGGTCATTTCCGTAATCAAAATATATTCATGTATACCAAAGTTGGAAATGTTTCCCTATTTTAGGGTAATGCACTTAGTTGATAAATGGTTACAAATTATAATATGATAGACATTGTGGCGAATGTACGCTTATAAAGATAAAATTATACATTTGCATGGGTAAAGTTAAAAACCATAAAAAATATAACTTACATTTTGGCCACCTTTGCCTATGATTCTACCAATGCTTTGTTTAGGTACCATAATCTCAGTTCTTAGATGAACCTCATCATGGGCTGCAAGTCTTAATTCATTCTTTACCTTTTCAAAAATGTAGAACTGAGCCTTTATGAAGAAAAATAAATAAGTTGCAGTATTTGAGCACAGAGACTCTCACTGTAAAAATTTTAGACACTGACCTCTTTATTCACAGCATAGCTATGTGTTTTAAAAAAAAAAGAGTTGAACAATAGCCCGCAGATCAGAAAACTACTTTTTATTGTGGAAAGCTGAGTAGAAAAAAATGGCTGTGATAATGACCAATATATTTTTCATACTCAGCCAAGATGGTGTTGCACTTTAACTTGGTTTTGTTTCTCACATTGCTCTAAGCTTTTCCATTCAACTGGTCTTTTTCAGACACCATGTGCCTTGGGTCCAGCAAGGACATATTTCTCATAAGTGGGTAAATGATCTTTAAATGGCAATGGAAAATGCCTTGTATTGTGATCTAATTATGAAATTTTGTTTGGCAGGTCTTTCTTCAGCAAAAGCAAGGGGGAAGGAAATCAAACATTTATTTCCTGGTATCCTGATTTTGTCACAGATATTACTCTGGTTGATAAACCTTGACATAAGAGACTGAACAAAGCCTCCCAGGTCTGTAGCCAATGATGGCAGTGTAACATACTGTCATATTATGGTTTTGCAAATTTTATCAGTTTTAAGATTTTGCTTATTTGTTCAACAATATGTAGCAAAGGACTGAAAACCAGCCAATTAAAAAAAAAAAACTATACCAAACCTAGTGATATTAACAATATTCAATTTAATTATACTATTAAAATTATTATAACAATACAAAACCAAATAGAACTAAAAAATATATTAACTTACAACACAAGTGAAAAAGAATAATCCTTCAAAGTTACAATTATGACGCACACACACAAAGAGTACAATCTTGTAAGGCTCCTATATTATTTTTTGTAAATGTCTAGGAAAATTAGCACAAAAACAATAATTTTCCCCAAAACTTTAACATGATGCCAAACTTGATAGTGCAGGTGTGAGCTGAAGGCAGATAAAAGGACATGTGTATTCAATGTTTTACTATCAGATATGCATACTTGCATGGGCCTCAGGATTCATTTTCCATTTAGTTATGTGCATTTTAGTGATACGTATCGAAGCTACTAAAACAGAATTGATATCATAGCACTGCATATGTCAGTTCCATTTCACATGACAGTTCAAGGGTTAAAATCCAAGACTAAGGGAAAATATTAAAATAAAATTATAACCTTCCACTGTGCTTCTGGAGATCCTGAAATCACAGCCTTGCGCTCATCCCCTGAATGACTGAATGGGTTATTTTCACCAGATCCATTTTTATCGTTGGCCCCTAATATCTGTTGAAAAATTAAAGTTTGAAATAATTAAGATTAATAGTTCTAATGCCCCCTGGCATATCTTTTTTATTTGAACATTAGTAATCTAATCTATACAACACACATACATCGATAGCCTTTTTCATTTTGAAGAAATTAACATGATTTTAATTCATCTGAACCCTTTCGGGATGGCTGTGCTTATATATTGGCCAGGGTTGAATAGCAGATCCTTAGGCCGATAATTCATGCCTTGAGATCGGCTGGCTAATCTTCGTACTAGCTAATCAGATTGTTTCTTACATTTCCTGCACATCCTGTATTTTAATTGCAACCTCCTTTGTTTACTAGCTTTTGTTGTGTTCACAAATTTTTTTTGTGTTGAAAGTAATATCAGATTCTTTAATGCTTTGCAGTGAATCTAACAATGAACCTGATGAAAACAACCAGGAATGTAATGAAGAAACATGATGATGCTGATAAGTTTGTGAATCCTTGGTTTAGGATTAGGAGTACTGAACTGTATAGAGATGACCCTATGAATTTTTAGCAAATATAGGACCTATAACTTTGCCCTAAGGCATAAGCACTCCAGGTACTTCAGGATATTTTATTACACTAAACATCATTCAAATGTTTATGAGAGAGACCACAAAATTCTCAGTAATAACCAGCACAAGAGAATGTCCCAAGGTCATAAATGCCTGTCGAACAATGGTGAAAAGGACTGCTCTGTCCATAGCAACCGAAAAATAGTCAGGGTCATGTAACAGAGGTATCTGGAGGGCCTTGTTTTCCAAAACACAAGTGTTAGGACTAATTCAAGCTTCATCCATAAAAAAAAATTTCACACAAATGATATAAGAAAGTCATGTTTAATCTATTATCTAAGAGTAACAAAAAAAAATGTATGCACGCATAAATTATGCAAATCAGGATAGCTCATTTGCATAAATGTTGAGATTTCAATTTGATTCATAAAGATTATATTAGTTCATTCAATTTCCTACAAGAATTTATAGTTTTAAACTAACATGTAAAGGAAATTGTTTTTTAGAAAAAATTTTGTTGCAAAGTGAGCTTGTAAAAAGTGTTTCATCTTCTTGGCACCGACACTTCAAAAAGGCTACGCCCCAAAAGGGTTAAGTGCAAAAATATAAAAATTTAATCCATCAATCCAACGGGCTAAGTTAGTATCTACAATGCACGAACAATATCAGTGTAATATATTTAAAACCAAAAATATAAAAAATCACAGATAGTATTAAAGCCTCCATTAAAATTAAACGGTGAAATACAAAAATAAAAAAATAAATCTTTTAAGTGAGCATATTAATTGCAATCACTTATAATTTTTTTTTTTACATAACTGTAAAGAGTAACATGCAAAATATGAAAATGAAAGGTGAAAAATATCAATATCCTTTAATTTGATAACAATAAAAATATACCTTGATGCGAGCACCAGACAAACGCATAATATTTTTAATATTCTGTCCTTTACTCCCAATTACTGCACCAACAGATTTTTCTGGAATATAAAGTTGCACGACCTCAGGCTGTTGTTGAACTTGAGGTGGACCACTGAAAGCTCCAGGGTAGTAAGCAGCACCCTAAAAATATTTCTGACTTTATAAATTTATAAACTTTTAAAAATCTATACATTTTTTTGACTAAATAATATTACATAATTTAGGAAAATAGTCCTTTTTGCATATATGTTATTGCCAAATAAATTACAAGAAGGTTACTAAACAGTCAGATAATGATTTTTTTTGGTCATTATTTCAATTCATTAATAAGGTAAGTTACTTTTATTGATCCAACTGCACTGCACGTATTATTTTTAGCATATTATATAAAGAAAAAGGCTTTAAACAAAACATTCTGATTATAATCAGATAATTTATAACACATTTAATAGCTTGGATAAAAATATTTGATAAAATCCCATAACAAATGTTAAATTTAAAGGCAATTAAAATTTGCAAGTATCACCTAGAGCCAAATGGTGGCCCACGAGCCTTAGTCCCCACAAGATGAATATTTATGGTCAAATAAAAAGAAATATCAATAAATTAGCCTTTGGTCCCTGGTGCAATTTTGAAACTTGACCACCAAACTTTAAATTTTGGGAAACACTTATCTTTCGTATTTTCAGCAAGCCGATTAATTGGCAAAATAAGCTGACACTGCACAAATGTCATTTATTCGGTGCAACCCTAATATTCATCCTTGGGTTTTTTTAGATAAAGGTATTCCGTAAACTTACCATATAGGGCATGGGCGGTCTCATGGCTTGGTAAGGTCCCATACCAGGCATCAGGGGAAGACCTGGCATTCCAGGGAACATCATATGCTGCTGTGCACCATACTGCAAAATATAAATTTATAATCAATCTTGTTGGTTTGTGTTTTTAATAAAATGTTAAAAAATATTGGCTCTATTCAGAGTATTACACCCCTGAACATTCAAACAATGTATAAAAAGCTATACAAAAGATCACTGCAAAAAATTCTGTATTTTCTGGGAATAATAGTATTTAACATTTAAGATAAAAATAATTAGCAGTAAGTCTGCAGTGTATTATTCAAGGCATATGATGAAAAATTTTAAAGACTACTAAGATTAAATGCTTTCATTCATGGTAAGGGAGAATAGGAATAGGTACTGTAATTACAATATCCAGTTAGAATTGAAATCAAAGACAAACCTGAAATGAGCCAGCATCTTGTTCAAAGCATTGTCTCATTTTCTCACTGATTTTTTCTTCGGCTTCTGAGCAGCTTTCAGTGGAGCCAGTTATAGTTATTACTCTGTCTACATAATTATTAGTGGAATCCATCAATCCTCCAGGAAAGGGATCAAAGCTGTAGAAGTATCAAATTTGAGGCATTTTTTAAAAATACTTTATAAAAAAAAAAAAATTTACTTAAAGCAATAATAAATATGTAATTAATTGTGATAAAGTTTCATATTCAAACGCAATTTCCAAAGCTTTCTAGAGGATTCACTGTGATGAGTCTAATGAGACTGTTTTAAAGAACACCTGTACAACATTAATAGATGAGCCCCTGGTCCTGTTTCTAGACATTTCGATAGTGCTAACACAATGGAACATTAATCATTGCAGTTACTGGTATATTGCATGTGAGTAACACACCTGATAGAAATTATAAGGAAAATAAATTAATAAAAATATTTGGTATGTTGATTACATATGGCATAAACCAAATTCACAATATTACGTAACTGCAATGTTATTTTTCCTGTTTGGGTTTTAAATGTACTTTCACCCACTATCTTTCCGTCCATCTGAGCTTTGTTTTCATTAGGGATTTGTGCCACCTCTTATTCTTTTTTTTCATATTTATACAAATGTAAATTAAGTGTTTCAGCAAATTCCTTCATCGGTAAAACCAAAAAATTCATACAAGAATAAATTAAATTTATTTGCAAGTGTTGGCCCTTCAAAACCAAGGTCCCATCCTAAAACCAAAATAGCTTTATAAATGTTTAAAATGAAACATTAAAATCAGACCTGTATACCCTCAAACTCCAAAAATTATTGTCTTGAAATAGTACAATACAGAACCATTATCTTAATAGTAAATAAGTAAAATACAGTACATCAAATGTATACAATAACTAATCGCATCACGTCTCTAGCCCGCATCAGTCTCTAGCGGGATCAAGTTAATCTGGGATAAAAAGGTAACTTCAAAAAAGAGATGAGTGTGTTCATTTTGCAATCTGCTGCCACTTTATTTTGCAGACATGTATTTGCTGTTTAGGTGAGCACTGTCTGTCACTGGTAAAAATAAAGTTACTAGTAATATTTAACGTGGTTCAAACTGAAAGTCAGATTAGGACCAAATAAAATTGATTGCAATAAGAATTGATTAACAAATTATGGCGTCATAAAAAAAGAGCTATCAAGTAACTTAAGATTTATTATTTAAAAAAAAAAATAAATATCCGTTATGCCTGTTTATCGTTATCAGTCTAATAATCACCACAACCTGTAAAGGGGTGAAAGGAAGAGGGGGGTATTAAAATCGAACACTTGTTTTGTGCCTTCTAAAAATAGATTTCAAAGGGCTTCTCAGAACCTACAAAATGATGCATTCTCTAGTTTTCTATATTTTCTGCACTCACCGCAAAAAAAAAAAAAATCTGATTTTCTACCACCCCCTCCACCCATTGTACACCAATTTTTTTACCCCCCTGCCCCAGTGTACATACAAAGCACTTTTAACGACCCCCACCCCCAAAAATACAAAAAAATCTAATAAACCATATATATTTATGTTGTTACAGCACAGTTATCAAAACGTGTCGCAGGTTTTCATCAATGGCGGTTAAACGAGCCCTCAAGCAGGGCCATGACAATTCGGTGAAAGCAACAGGTGCTAAAATTATCTTTAGAAAGGACCTTAACAGTGAATCAAATGATAAAATCTGCTATTTTTGGACTTTCCGGATGAATATTGTAGAATTTTTTAATAAAGTATGTACTTTCCCTTAGATATTTGATAGTAGCCACTCTCTCAAAGGTGTGGTTGTTTATATTGATGTTGTCAGCATGGGTATTTCAAGATATTATCATATATTTGTCTTCGCTTCATTTACCTTAAGACCAGCTTTGACCGAGGCATTTTCAAGTTCCCAAGTGAAATTATATAATAAAAGCATTCAGGGAATTTGAAAATTAATTGGTAAAATGTAACAACATTTTTAAAAATTTAAAAATACATTTCATGACTACCCTCTCAAAAATTCTCTTGTCCCAAAAATAGGATTTGCTTAAAATTTTTAGGCTGAATATATAGTCAGCATTAATCAATGAAACTCACTATGGAAATTAACACATGCAATTTTAGTATAGCAATTTCTCATTTAGAGATAACTAAATTTAAAACAGTCACAATTATTTCAGCACTAATGCTCAAGGTTGACCTGTTAAATTAAAATCCTAATTACATCCCATGAATTTGTAACATCACAGACTTTTTAACTTACCTAGATACAACTATATTGGTGTTAGTTTTCTCCATGAATACTTTGATAACATTCCCTTGTTTCCCTATTATCCGACCACAGATGCTATTTGGACATAAAATTCTAAAAGCGACATCACTGAAATAAAGTCAAAACAAATGATATTTGAGAAGAATTTAATTCAATTGATAAAAAATACAATTTTTAAAGTTGAACTTATGCTTTAATTTTCATTGCAAAATTTTAAGATAACATGACTAAAATAAGGATAACAAAAAATAAAATTTTGGATTGTATCTGGCGGATTTAATTAACTTCAGTTTTACTACCTACCCTCTATTGAGTGAATCTGCTTCTTGTCGTACAACAGTCATTATTTCTTTGCAAGCCTTAGAACAACTTTCAGGTGATCCTTTAATTGTTACAAGCTGAAAAAAAGTATTCAAGATCTTAAAAAAAAGCATTTAATTCATGCCAAAGGTAGATGTAGATACTGAAGAACCTTCTCTTGTCTTGAACTCCAAATTCAGAAAACAAAGGTTGAAACAAACTAAAATATGATATATTTTTAAAGTAGCAATTATTCATTTGTTTAAAATATTCATACTATAATACTGGAGAAATAAATAAAAATGATTTTGTGATAATGGAATTGAGAAATTGTAGCAAAGCAAGATGTTCTTTATGAAAATTAGACTAATGAACATCACACCTCAGTTAAATTATAATTCAAGTCCTTGCTTTGATCTTAAAAATGTCGAAAAAACTGATAATTTTCCCACGTAAGAATATTCACAAAAATTAATTTTTTTGAAAATCATTAAAACTTTTTTAATAATAGTGAAATAATTAGTTTACGGTACTTGTTAGCAGCTCAGAAATTATTTACCACAAAATTTCAAATAACATTAAATTAAACAGTAACGAAATGCAAACATTTTAGCTATTTCTTTGTGAAGAAAAATAATCCACTTTAGATGCAATATTTTAAAGTTTCCAGAAAACCCATACTATGAAAAGAATAAATAAACCTTGTTCCCCTTAAGTTTAACTTTCAGTCTGGTTCACAATCATTCTAGATTCATTACATAGGACATTATCAGAAAGAATAAAGGAGACAAAAAGGTTTGTGAGAAATAATGTAACTTACTGTATCAGGTACATGGCTTTCTCTTCTATGAATATCCACTCTGAAAGTAAAAACTTTATTAATGAAAATCGTAAGATATAATTTAATGTTCTGCTGTTCACGGTTAACCACACAAAAACTGCAATCTGACCTTACAATGCTGGTTCTTAAAAAATCAAATTCTTGCTTTTTTAAAATTCAGTCAACCCAACAAATCAATCATTGAGCATATAAGAATCATTTTCAAAACATTCATCTTTCATAAATTCATCCTTCTTTCCCTATCCAGATACAATATGAAAAAAGGATAATGAATGAATTTAAGAACATATTTTTTTTTTAAAATTGCAGCCAAATTTAAAAAAAACAACACAACCTTCTTTGTTTTCCAGAAGTGTCTGAATAACACCAAACTCATCAACCGATGAGCTGATGAGCAGATAATTCTGACTTGTAGTCTAACCAGCATAAAGAATGATTTTTGGACAAGCTCATTTATTATGGGTTATAGGATATACAACTTTTCCACCATTTCAAAAACTCAATGCCTCAATATTTTTTCACTCTTTGTTTTAGGATTTCTGCTACTGGGCCCTGCCTAGACTTCATTACTTCTACAGTCAATATTTCTCTCAAAAGCACACAAGCCACATTTTTACTTCTTACATAACTGTTTTTCAAGAGATACTGTAATGTTAGATTTAAAAAGTTGCTGCTAAAGAATTAATTAATTTTGTTTCCTCTATGTTGTAAATAATACTGACAATTTTTATAAAATTTTGAATTTTGTATCTAACATGCTCAGGATTCTTATTTATCTCCGATACATAATCATCCAATAGTGCAGCTTTTCCCATATGGGTACCTGGCACCCGCAAAATACTGGGTTAGCCAAATAAATTTTTTTTTTAAATGTTGAAAACCTAGGTGTTTCATTTTTGGGTTTTCATGAGCATAATTTTTTTCTTCTGTGTTAACTGATTTTAATCTAATTTGACATTTGAAAAACAAAATAAGACATACTGAATACAATTATAATCCTAAAGATTTCTTCCTAAATTAAAAAAGAAGGAATAGAGTAATAAGCCAAATGAGATCTACCCAAGTTATAAGAGAGATTAAAGTTAATATTTAAAATGTGATCTGTCAGAAAAATTTTTGGCAATACAACTCATGAAGAATTTCTCCTTCATATACTTCTGACAAAAAAAAAAACACAGCTGAAGACTATTTATTAATTTGATTAATAATTACATTAATCAAAATGACACTGACTGGAAGAAATGTATGGGACTGCATAGGGATATGGCTTGGGCAGTTAAAAATGAAGAATGAGCATGAACATCGTATGGATCCATCATACCAGTCACAGAGAAGCTTTGGCCTTCTAATTCCATTGCTTTTAACTTCAACTTACCCAAAATGTGCACAATGTTTTAACTTAATAAAATATAGTCCACTGAATAAAAAAAAAATTGAATCTAGATACTTTCAACCCTACAATCTACTACTAGTGAACATTAAATTAAGACTCCTAAAACGATATTACCTTGCTCGACTTTCAGATGTTATTTTCCTTATAGTTTGACCCTGCTTTCCAATAATAGCGCCCACATAATCACTGGCAACAACAATCCTGAATAGAATGCAAGACAATTTTTTTTAAAGTATAAAAACAGAATACAACAAAAAAATACATTATAAACCAGGAAACGGTGTAATTATTATAGGAATATGCATTTTATAAAAATCAGCTCAGCAGTTAATTTAACAGTACCTGGAAACAAAAAGTAATTCACCTTAAAGGAAGATCTTGTCGCGCAAGTCCAGAATTACTGTTGGAATTGCTTCTGTTCGATCTTTTCTGGTTTCGAAAATAATCCACCTAAAAGTAAAAGATTATTTACAGGATAAAAAAATGCTTAACAATCCTATAAATTTTTTTAAATATTTCATAATATGCTTAAAAGTAACCAAATAATTCTACCATTTCACAGAACCAAGTAGCATTATAAAGCTATTCCAATCACTATGTAAAGTAGGTAAGGAAAATTTAATTCAATTGAGCCTTTTTTAAATCATCAACAAGAGAAAGCCAATAACAGAAGAACTAAAAACCTGTGATTAAACACTAGTTTTAAAAGTTTTTGCTAAATATTTAATTGTATCATTATGAAATTATAACAAAACTGACAAGTGGAATTCATTGTTAAAAATTTTACTTTTAACTGTGTTCCATCTTCAAAGCGGTAATCATTCAATTGCTCTACACATCTAAAGAGGGAAAAAAATGAATTAATAACTTGGAATGAATAATATTTCGTTAGATATTGTTATATTCATCAATTAAAATCAATTCAAAACTGAGCAAAGTCTGCTTTAATTTAATTAATTTTCTTCCTAATTACGACATGTCAATAGAACCTACCCTTGATTAATAACACTAAAAGTTAACAATGGAAAAAAATATACTTCAGTTTTTAATATTTGCAAAATTATTAGTAATGTTGATAGGTTCTTTAATTAAATGTTTTTTTCTGATTTGATCTCATATCTTACAGCCTAATTTAACGAAGCTGATACGATCTAATTGGTGAACAATTTACTCCATTGATGGCTGACTACGAGATGATCATGTGAGGAGGAAGGGAATTCAAGTGCAAGGACAAGAGAGTGAGGCTGACATTTTGCACAACTCTCTTTCACTTTAAACAAAACAAACTGTATGTCAGGGCCATTAACTCTAGGTATCTAGACTACCCTATTTGAGATCACCATTGTTCACCTAAATGGGAAGGAAAATAGAGGAAGTGCTTCAGACAACAAATTTTGTCTTGTAAAAACTCCATCCAAGCAACTGCAGCACTAATAAGATAAGATTCTTTTATTGATCCAAACAAATGGAAATGTTTTTTGATTGCATTGTACATTTTCAGCAAATAAATAGAACAATTTGAACACAAGACATCTACATTAAATTATTTCACCAGTGAAAAAAACAGCCATTCAGTTAACTCTCTTAGCCATATCAGGGACTAATTGGTTCTCATTAAGATTTGTGACTTCTGGGGGAGAACTTGGTATTCTTTCTATCCCCAAGACTCGCATAAAAAAATACAGTGAAAGATCTTTCTGTACCCCTAAACAATGGAATTCTCTTCCATTACACATCTGCAATATATTGACCATCACAGCCTTCAAAAGTGCACTCAAAACATATCCTTTAAACTCTACTATACTGACTGATTCCCCCCTCTGACCGATAAACAATGATGCTGGGTGCCGTCTATGGCTTGACATGTAAATAGTTCTGGGATGAGTGGAGTGAATAAACGTTTGTTTTATATTTTTTATTTAATTAATGTATGGTCATTAATTTTTTAAGTTGATATGTTTGTTAAATTTTATGTACAGCATGGTGACCCCAGCCCTAAATAAAACAAATCATAATAATAATAAATTTGTACAGATTGGAGAACAAAAGAATTTTTATATCTTTCAGTGAGAGAAAGAATTCATCCCGAACGGGCAGATCCTTAGTATCTGTGATGAAGAGGGTGGGATGTATGATCCAAAATTTCTTTAGTTTTACAATAACATCTTTCTTCAAATAGTTCTTCATGTGAAGGATGTTTATTTTGTGTTATGTTTATAGCTACCTTGATTATTCTGTCCATTCAGTTTTTAATATCAGATGATGAATTACCACATATCAAATCAACAACACTTAACATTGGTGCCTGGAATGTGCTAACTTTTATGGATAACCCCAAAGCAAACAGACCAGAGTGGCAAACTGCAATTGTTGCAAAACAGCTCGCAAGATACAAAATCAAAATGGCAGCACTATCAGAAAAATAACTGCCAGAATTTGGGCACCGATCAAGAACAAAGAAGGTGCATTGCAAGAAAAAGCAGAACCGACTCAAATTCTACTAAGACCCAAAACAACATGTGACCCACATGCAGGATTAAGCTATCCAGGCACAAACGGGACTTGCAGGCCATCTGCGTATGTACCTTATGATATAACCTTGGTCATCTTCACATGCTAAGGACATACAAACACCAGACAAGGAACAAGTGTGTTGTGAATGTGTAGCTCAGAATAGTGTAATGAACAATAAAATGATACCATTTTCCAAGGAGCCAATGACCCTTTATGGTGAAACTAGAAGGAGGCTACATAAATAGGAAAATGTTATGAGTGCAATAGACCAGGCCGGCACAACATATGGCTCGTGGGCCGCATCGCTAGCACCCACTTTGTGGCCCGCAAAGTAATAAAATATTCTTTATTCTTAATATTTTCTTAATAGCTTTCCCCCTGTCCTATTTTCTTTTGGCCCGCACAAGTTTTTCATAAAGTATAATGGCCCCCCTTACATTTTGAGTTGTGCCTAAGATAATAATATTTAAACAAGAAAGGGGCTATTCTGATAACCGACATTTCGGATAATTAGCGCCAAGAAAATCCACTCTACTGTATTTATATTTATAATAATCAACTTGGATAATAGTGTTAGGAAAAGGAAAATTGACACTTTATTTTAATTATAATCAACTGATTTTTAGTGCAAAATCTTTCTAATTTCTAAAAATAATGTTAAAAGTAACTTACTCTTCAGCTTCTTCTGGAGTATTAAATGTCACATACATGACGCCCTCTGAGCCAACTAAAAATGAGATTTACAATCAATATAACTTTATTAATATTAAGTAATAGCTTCACCAAACTGGTAGGATAGTTTTTCTTTGTAGCTTTGCTTAAATTCTTTTCTTCTTAAATTTTTATGAGGATTAATGATTTATGGAAATCAAAAAGAAGGGGTTTTAATTTTGATATTTTTTACTACTCTGTTTCACATCATCAGGCTATTGAAAATAATAATTATCTTGACGTAAATAGTTAATTTCTTCAAAAAGTAGTAGTTGCTAAATAGTGAACATACCTTGTTCAAACTTTTTTTGGCTCCTAGAAGTTACATTCACAAGCTCCTCAATCTGTTCTTTAGAGCAGTGTGGTGGTAAATTTCGAATTTGAATTTTGTTTGTTTTACGACTGAAATATTTTAAGTTATTACTAGCAAACAAGAATAACAATCGTGAAATGTCTGCATTCAATGCATAAATATATAATAGCAAACAAGAAGGATATAAATAATTTCATGACCAAAGAAACTATTTTTAAGGATAAGAATAGTTTAAAAAATTATAAAAGGATATGGACAAAATTATGCTAGTATTTTACAAAATGCACCTTTTCCTTCCATTTGATGGTTCAGCTTGCATTACAGATCCTTCTAATGTAAATCCTGAAAATAATGAAGGGAAAAAAAAAGATTATAAAATACTTAAATTAGATATCTGCCTACTTCAAAAACATTTCTGTAAAGAGGAAGAATCTGCCTATTCTATTAAACATTGTTTCATGCACATATTGTTTCATGTACATATATGGGGCCCTATGACCTTCCAAAAACTGGATGAATATTTTTCCAGTAGGTAGCAATTGTGAATGGTTATCTGTAAAAGCCTTAGAAAATTAATAACACAGTAAAATTGTCATATGTAATAGTAATAACCAATACAAAATTAAAAATTATTCCACTGCTCAACTTCAAACTTATTTTCAATTTATTGTCTAGAACTCTCAGATTCATAGAAATTATGTGCCCCGCCAAAAAAACAAATACAATAATTTCCATGCTGTCATCTGCACAAAAAGGTTACACACCCCTGGTCAAGATAGTGTTCCCTCTATTAGCAGCTTACATAATTAATGAAATGGACTTCACATTACTATTGGTAAGGTGATTGCAGACTGGTTATGGCTAAATATAGAAATAATGCTTTAGGTCTTAGGAGTTTAATTTTTATTAGTGTTAGTAGACCCTTGACAAAAATGACACAAATTTGTGACAATGTATTATGAAGGTTTCTAAATTGTGGGAGTGTGACTACTTTAGATGATGGGGGAGGGTAGTACAAAATCTGCCAATATAATCAGTTGTAGAATTCTCGAAGGCAGAGAATTATGACATTAGTGCTTGAATTTACACTAGGCATAGCCCAATCATAGTTTACGGGGGCAATCCAAAAATAACATTGTGCATCCAAAAGAGGGGTGGTTAAAAAATTTGTGATAGTTGTCTAATCTAATTTGTTACAAAATATACCAAAATAGCATGACTTCATTTAAGGATGGCCTGATTAGTCTACTTAGGATTTTGAGACAGGTCAATCTCATATTTAAGTGCATTCAATTATTTACTTTGTGTTTCAAATTCAGAAATGACTACATTATCGCATTATGAAAATTGGTAGGATTAATACGTACAAACCAAGCCTAGTCTGATAATTATCAAGTATTATTAGAGTTTTAAGGTAACTTTTTTATTTTTAGTTACGTAACTAGTAACATCGTTAATGAATTTGTTTCAATTACTAATTACTTCCCAAATCTCCCAAATAAATAGTGCCATAAATGATAAAAGTCAAAAGATTTCTGGATCTTAAAATTTTGTTCTAGAACTAGAATTAGTTAAAATTAAATCAAAGTTAAATAATAAATAATAAGGTTGCTTGACAAGTTAGTCACTTTTTAAAATAAAAAATGTTTAATAAAATATAATAACAAGCACAATTTAAATGCTATTGAAATTGTTGAGCTAAAATATAATTTAATGATTTAACTCTCATAAAATACACAACATAGTTTAAATTACTTTAAAAAAAATAGTGTCTAATAATAAAAACAGCTTAATTATTAATTTAGACAGCTCCATGTTACTACTGCTAAGAACAAGTATGTGTATGTGTTGTAACTATGTGAAATCGCTTATGCTTTCGCAACAATTACAAGAAAACTATTATATTATTTATCATATCAACAAAATACAAATGACTGACTAATTTTAGTCAGTTACCGTTGAGTTTTTTGACCACTTCATCAACTGAGAGTTTGTCTTTAACCGTTACAAAAGCAAAGTTTCTTTTCATTGAAATATTGTTAAAAATGATTCCTTGCTGCTCAAGCAACTTGCGTAGCGTGCCTTCATTGACGTCTCCAGCTAGATTGCCAAGAAACACTTTTTCCATCATCACAAGTCTATGTGTGAGTAAAAGCCACGACCTTTTCACTTATAAGCAAATTTGATGTCTCCACAGCGAACACGGTTGGAGTACTATTTCCAACAGTAATATTAACGGAAGTAAACGATAATGCGGCGCATTAATACAAATTACCTTTTAAAAGGGGGTGCAAAATCCTTTTTATCCACATTTTACTGGGTACTTTTTTTTAAAAAAATAGAGTTCATTCTTTTTTTACAGATCGATATACTTATTTTTTTTTAATATTGCCATAAATAAATCTAGCAGGTTGGTGAAATTTGAAAAATGTTAAAAACTAGAGAGCTTTGCCCCCCCTAACAATAATGGGTTTGTCTGAAAACTGTCGTTTGTTTTCTATTTTTCTTCGTGATCGTGATGGACACGTGTTTTTTCAGGGGAGGAGATTAATATTATTCTTCGCACCGGTAGTCGATATGTTAAATTCCAAATAAAATTTTCCAAAATAAATTGGAATAATTTTCTTTCAATCTTAATTTAGCTATAAAAATAATTCGGATCATTGAAACTTCATTACAGGAATAGATTAGACCGTATTGTTAAGCTTAAACAAAAAATTATTTATCAAACTGAAAGATGGTTCATTTAATGTACAGTACAGAGTAGACTACCGTGTTTTTAAATTAGCTAAAAATTCATTAACTAATTTAATTACTCATTCATTTTTTAAAAAAAAATATATATATATTTTTTAAATATTTTTTTTCTGTTTGCAGTGGGGACAGCATTGTCAAAGGATGAACATAATAATAAAGTTTATTTGAAAAACACGCTTCATCCCCAAAAAGCTCGAAGCGCGGTACAAAGTCAACCACATTATAAAGAGAAATAAAAACAATATAAAATTTACCACATTTAAAAACAGACGCAACAATATAAAACTACATACGAGCGTACCAAGTCAAAGTCTTTCATCCCGTTTCAACCATAAGCAACACAGCCCAATATACATTAACCGAAAAAGATGGTAGATAGCATCACCCCATAAGGTGTTTGCGAAATAGATGTGTTTTTAAATCGGTTTTAAAGGACTCCAGTGTCTGGCTGTTTCTGGGAGCGACTGGAAGACCGTTTCAAATTGTTGGAAACAAACATCTATTAAGTGTCACGCTTAAGTGATAAGTAAAACCAGTAGCTTAATTTAATTGGGATATTCTTTTTTTTTTTTAATTGACGAAGGTTTAAAGCAATTCTGAAAGGGTTATGGCTACACACATATAACACAGGTAAATCTATAAACTATAATTTCACGAGCTGCATAGTTCCCTTAATTTATTGTGTTACCCAAACTGTTGTGCTCAATGAATTCCCAACCCCTAGTTTTTAAAAGAACCAAATTAAAGGGAAGTCCCTATTGCCGTCAGAAATATAACATTTCATCTTTGCGGCATTATATGACTTACAAAAACGTTAGTGACATAATATATTTGTAGTACTGAAGTAAATAATCTAGAACTTTCTAAAAATTGTGTCTTGTCGTCTAACATTGTCCCTTTAAAAAAATTAATTTAACTTAAAAATCGTACATTTTATATCCCTTGGATTATTTTATCAATACCGGTATTGCAGGACACTGTCTCCCCCAATATAGTGACATAGTGACAACTAGCTTTGCTTTCCATGACGACATCCAGTGCAACTGAGCACACCACCTGTGCTCAGTCTAGGGTTTTATACCCCGGGATCCTGTTTTATTAAACTAAAGTCTTCCCGGAAAATTTTCCTATCCCGGGTACACACTTTTAGTGTCTTTTCAACTACCGGGTATTGTCATTTTCTTCGCTTTTTTTTTTTTTTTTTTTTTTTTAATGCCAGCTAGTGACTAATTGTCGCTTTCAGTATAAGACAAGCCCGAAAATCTAGTTAACTTTTTTGAATTACTAAGCTCAAAATTTTTTTTTTTTTTTTTTTTTTTTTTTTTTTTTTTTTTTTTTTTAATGCCAGCTAGTGACTAATTGTCGCTTTCAGTATAAGACAAGCCCGAAAATCTAGTTAACTGTTTTGAATTACTAAGCTCAGAAGCTCTGGTACAGAGGTTCTCAACCGTTTTCTGCGAGGCCGTAGTTGTCGCAAAGTGATCAACTCAAGTATTTGTGGTCCATACACTTCTTTTATGACATCGTAGAAACTTTTGGTATCGTGTCTATAGGTTTAGGCCTGAATTTCATCAGCGATCCTGCTGAGCTATGATGAAGTTTCTTTTGCTCTTTCTGTTTTATTTTGCTGAGAGCATATTTCTTTACCCGAGATGTAGATTATCGTTTAGTGGTGACTGTATCTCATTATCATTTCTATCAAACCAATCTTTATTTCTGGGGGTTGTTGGTACGATGTGTTCTAGAGCAGTCGAGTAGATAGTATCTCTCAATTTAGACCACGTGGAATCAACATTTTCATTTTCCTCCGAGGGATCATCGCTCCGTCTGCGTTCGAGTTCAATGGAAAAATAGTCTGCCATGTTTTTACACTTTTGGACATTAAGCTTTGTTTTAAATTTATACCCTTAAGAGTCTTCTCATAGCAGTTATGATATGAGACTTTAATTTGGAGTCACGTATTCAGCACCACAAATAGCATTTTTTATTCTAACATCTTATATAGCATTTTTTCAGGTGATAGCATAGTCAATCATGTGCCAGATTTTTGAACGCAGGTGCATCCAGGAAGTCTTTTTTTCGCGTGGGAAGGCGGTAGAGTGTGTTGATGATAGTGAGGTCATCTGTAGTGCACAAATTCAGGAGCAGTAGACCATTGAAGTATTACTTTCCAAGATCATGTATTCCGATAGTCCCATGTCTGGTGGTCTGTTCCAACTCTAGCATTGAAGTCCCCAAGGATAACGAACTTCTCTGATTTTGGAACTTTTGAGATGACATTGTCTTGTCCTTCATAAAATTATTAAAATTTGTGTTTTTTTTATTTGTTTCTTGTCCTCGGAAGTAAGTTGTCGTTGGAGCATAAGCACTTAGAAGTTTTTTTGAATAAAGGGAGCCACAGTGTCATCAAACGGGGGGGGGGGGTGACTCCTTTTGATCGTTTTGAGAGTGTGTGTGAAATGCTTGTTTTGATGGCAAAGCCACCACCAGCTTCTCGTCGTTCGTTTAAGTAGCGGCCACTCCAGAACAATGTGTATCCGCCTACAAGCTCTGTAAGTTGACTTTTTTTCTGATAGCGCTGCTATCTTGATATTGTAATCGTATCTTGCAAGATTTTTGCAACAAGTGATGCTCGTCAACTGGTCTATGTGCTTTGGTGTTATCCATCAAAGTTCGCACATTTCAGGCGCCAACGTTTAGTGTTTTTGATTTGATCTTACAAGTGTTTTGACCGTATCAAAGGAGTTTTTGCTGGACAAGATTTGCTGTGTCTGAAGCTCTTCTGCAATCTTCCTCCTCCAATTTAGGTAACAATGGTGGTCTCAAATAGGGGAGCTTAGACGTAATAGCCCTGGCATGCGATTTATTTTGATTTAAGTATGGGAGAGTTGCGCTATTCGTCAGACCATTCTCTCGTCCTTGCCCTTTTTGATCCAGGGGCGAGACCCAGTCAAGACCACCACTGGAAAAATACACGGTTGCAGTGGATGACCAGCAGTGTTTTGATTTGTGGGACTCACTGTGCTCATTACTCGTTATTACGTCAAGTTTCCTTCATCTCCTTTTCCACGTATGAATCTCTTTTTGCGTGGTCCACCATGAAGTCCAGTCTTCACATGGTCCACCAGGTCCAGTCTTCACATGGTTCACAAGGTCCAGTCTTCACATGGTTCACCAAGTCCAGTCTTCACATGGTCCACTAGGTCCAGTCTTCACATGGTCCACCAGGTCCAGTCTTCACATGTGAGGTAGACACATCCTCATGTTTGTCCCATTTCTTGTGGCTTACTCACAAGACCTTAGGTCGGCAAAATATGTGTAGGATTATTATGTTATTGGGTATGATGTCGGTATAAGGAGCTGTTTATTTTAGTGTGTACCCGGTACGCAAAAAAGTCAAAATTTTACCCCCCCCCCCTTTTTCCCTGTTGCATGCATGCTGTTTTGGACACTCCCCCCGCCCCCAAACGTACGTACAAGAGGAAATTGACCTCCACCCCATTAAAAAAAAAATCACCAATGACATCAAATATTTTTTAGAGATTTGGGACGTCAAAACAATTTTTTTTTTAAATTGTATTGCGGGGTTTACACCGCCGACTGTTTGGCTAGCCCAGTGGTTCCCATAATATAAGCCGCGTCGCTCTGGGTGCACGTTACCCTCGGGAAGAGCCATGCGAATGGGACACTGAAGGCAGTCGCACCGTGGGCCAGCATCAAGGGCGCTAAAATCGTTTTTAGGTAAATAATGACTTGAAATATAAAATTAAAATCCCTTAAACATCCGAAAAATAAGAGGCCCCCCCCCCCGGCTTCATCACAGGTGCCACATTTCCTCGGCAAGGCTCTGTCATTGGTTGCATCGGCTTCCTTACTGAGGCGACACGAAATATTACACTTTTCATAAGTGTATTTCCCCTTTTAATCCAATCTAGCGGTCTTGGTGCAAAGTGCAAACACTCGAGTAACTACTGTTTGCAGGTACTAGATGTTTACCCAACACTTAATTTTAGTATGTTTATTTTGTTAAACAACACGCACCTGGTGAACATCTAAATTTGGCAAAAGCGCCGGAAATCGAAACCACTGGTGCAGCCCGGGGCCCGGGGGTGGGGGGGGGATAAGTCACACGCGCGTCGAGGATACCGTGGACGAAATATTACTGTAATACTGCTACCACTGAGCAATAACTGATCTTATTTAGCGAATTCATTTATGAAAACACAAAGCAAAACTAGAACGATAATCTCTACCAAACATCTCATGATATTCTTCTAGCACTTGAAATATAAATATGCTATTTTTTCACTGTCGGAATTTCAGGATAATCTTTGTAGAATTTTTAGATAAATGTGCATACTTTCTGCTGACACCCCCCCCCCGGTCCCTACGCAGGCGTACGCAAAATCTCTAAAAATCGACACCCCCCCCTCCCCAGCTCAGTGCGTACGTATACTGACGTAGTATATGGATGGCCTCGAAAATCCCGGCTGTTGTAGTCAACTCGTCTCTTCTTGTCGTTGGCAATCATTGGTATGATCAAACGATTGTAGTAAAAAAAAAGTCACATAAAAAAGGTCACATGAAAAAAGTCACAAAATATGTTTCATATAAACTTCATCGTTTCAGTGTTTATTTTTGTTAGTCCTTGGAAATGTTTATTTGCTTCAATAAAAAATAGCAGTAGCTTATTCGGATCGTGTTTTGAGTCTCGTTAGGGATTAAATAAGTGTTTCTTACTGATATTATGTACCGGTATGCACATAATGATTCACACATTTAAACATACGATTTATTGTTACTAATACTAATTTATACATGGATGTGGCTTTTTTTTTCCCCCTGTGACTTTTCTTTCCTGTGACTTTTTTCCTAGCAAAAGTTGTGAATTTTTTCAGTGACTTTTTTTTTTCCTGGGGCCTTTTTTTTTCCGTGACCTTTTTTTCCGTGATTTTTTTTCCGGCTCACCGGATCAAACATCCCCGCTCATTGTAGTGTAGACATGCAGTGGCGTAGCGAGGGTTTTTGGCGCCCGGGGATAAGATTCGCGCCCGGGGACAAGATCCATTTTTAGCGCCCCCCTTTTTTTTTCAACTCTCAAACCCATTATTTTCATCAATAAAATAATATCAAAGCACATTTTGGCGCCCCTAACTAGCTGGCGCCCGGGGACATCTGTCCCCCCTGCCCCCACCACGCTACGTCTCTGTAGACATGGTATTCGTCAATGGTACTCCTGCCCTTTGTAAGCCTACATTTCCCAATATTCAGTTGATTGAAATATTGATTTGAAATTTCAAACTGTAACTTGCTTCAGATACACTACAAAGTGCCTCTTTAATTAATTTTTTTTTTTTAAATTGATGATTTAGAAACATTCCCCCCCCCCCCTAAAACGTGTAATTGGCAATGTACTCCTCTATAGATCAGAGTGTTTGAAGACCCATAGCATTTGAGAACAGTTCTGCCAACTGTCAAGGGCCCATTATGGCAACAGACAAACTCTAATAAAGTACAGGTACACAGATCGAGAGTGACAAGCGATGTAGAAATTAATGGGGCACGTCAGTGTAGACGGTTTGGTTTTGGTTTTAGAAAGTGTGCAAGCTGACGTCATATGACATCACTAAGGTGGACGGCCCGGAGAAAAAGATATACACATTCGTTTGTTCAGCAATCTGTACGAATTTCCCAGCGTGCTCCCCTAGAGGTCACAAAATCTAAATGATCACTAATTATGTCCCTGTTATGACCAAAGACGTTCACTGAATGACTGTTTTTTTTTTTGGTTGTTTTTTTTACACAAGAGCAGGCCTGCACAACATGCGGGCCGCATGTGGCCCGCCAGCAACCACATGGCGGCCCGCGGAGCAACAAAATATTCTTTATTATTATTATTATTTTCTTAATAGCTTTCCCCCGTCCTATTATCTTTCGGCCCGCACAAGCTTTTCATAAGGTATTACGGCCCGCCATACATTTTGAGTTGTGCAGGCCAGCACAAGAGAAATAATTTAATGTATATGTCTTGTGTTTAAATTAGTTTTGTAGTTGGAAGTTGTTGACTTTATTAAAATATGTATTTGTTTATGTGCTGAAATGTAAATGGACAATGTAATAAAAAAACATTTCCATTTGTTTGGATCAATAAAAGAATCTTATCTCATCTTATATGAAAACACCCTTTAGTGTATTAGTAGAGTAAGTGACAGATTTTTAATGGAGCGTTATAACACGGTGCAAATGACTGTCATTAGGGAGATGGACACATCTTTGTTGCAGTGATATAACACTAGTCATGTAGACACCTCTTAGAAGAGTCTGTGACACATCATTTTTGCAGCAAGAGTTCAGATGTCTCTGACGGCAAGCTCTTTCCCTGACATCTTTGTATAGACTTCATAAGGGTCTCTGCTCTACACATTTCTCAATGTCATCAAAACTGAGTGATAACAACACAGATTACAGTTACATGGGCTACCAAAATTATGGTGAGGGCGGGATAGGAACGCAACAGCCTTTATTTTTAATTGAATAACTATATTTCGATTTCAAAATATTTTTGTAAAACTTGATTGTTTTGAAATATAAATATTAAAAAAAAACAATAGGATACACGACGCCCCTATTTGTGACGCCCATGTCAAGAAGACAACATCGTAGTGCAGCGGGTAGATTAATGGGTCGACTGCCGATGTAATCTAGTCGCACCACAGTAAGCATGACGCCCACTTTCCAATGGTTAGCGTAGGACTGCTAACGTAAAGATATACCTTATATTATTATCAATCAGGTTACGGACTTTAAAACATTTAAATGTCGTCGTTGAATTAGAGCTTAAGTTTTTGTGTAGACTAGTTTTATGACTCATGGTAATGGACGCGGCATGTGACATCATAGCATGGGACATTGGGAAAGCGATGGCTTTTTTTTTTTTTTTTGATATGGAGAAAAACGGACTGATAGATGATGTCACTAAGTGAGATGTTCAGGAATTTTGGTTATATAAACAAAATCTGAAGTGAAACATTTTAAGACTTCAATTATCAAACAACGTCCGGCTCCATGGTCCAGATCCTCATAAGAAATGTTTGTGTATCCTTATTGTAACTTGACGAAAAGAATGTAGATATCAGGTGATTAAGAGAAGATTATGAGTATATGACGAAATATTATGAAGGTGTCTAAATTACGTGACACATTTGTGACGATTGGGGGGGGGGGGAAGGAAGTAAAAAATTGAGTGACATCCATCATGGATGGCCCCATATATATTTATCATAGATCCAGCCATCCGGCCAGACAGGCGTAGTTTGGCTTTTCGTCCGAATATGACGAAATATTGTGAAGGTGTCTAAATTACGTGACACATTTGTGACGATTGGGGGGGGGGGAAGGAAGTAAAAAATTGAGTGACATCCATCATGGATGGCCCCATATATATTTATCATAGATCCAGCCATCCGGCCAGTCAGGCGTAGTTTGGCTTTGCGTCCGAAGATCCTACTTAGAAATATCAACACCCATCTTTATGTTCGTGTCTTCTGTCCTTGTGTCTGCTAATATTCTGTCGTTGTTTCCGCTAATATTCTGTCGTTGTGTCCGCTAATATTCTGGTCCTTTATTAGCTTGACAAGTGGTTGAGAAGTAAAAAGTAATTTTGTTTCCATTTCACCAAATATATATATATATTTTTTTAAATTAATAATTTACCGTAGAAATGCAATGGCGTTACTAGGTTTGTGCCGCCCGGAACGGGCCAAGATTTGTGCCACCCTCTCCCACTAAGAAGCCCGCATGTACCGGTTCAATGATTCCCCCCGATCTCTAACGCTCGACAGGGCGATTCAAGTGCACGTGAAACAAAAAAATAATCGTCTAAATTTATTTTAAAACTCCGTTTAAAAATGGTACCGGTACGTCGTTTGGGGGCGCTCTACAATAAAGATCGGTGCCAGTACGGCGTGGGGGGGGGGGGGTTCTACAACAAAGAAAGGTGCGGGTACG